GTAAACTACACACGAAATCCACTTATTAATAACACTGATAAAACTTACTTGATGTAGACCAATGATTTGATAGATTTTTCATATCAGTTTTAGGGAGAAGACAGAGAAGAAAGCTAGAGGGGGAAGAAAACACAAAAAGACTGCTATAGTCGAGGAAGGAAAAAGAAAAAGGAATCCAGATCCTTAGGTGGAGATCATCAAACGGCATTTGCTGCCTCACCTTTTATATTAAGGGGAGAGTTATAACTAACAACAACTGATACAGGTTTATTACTTTGCTATTCTTACAGTTCTCAGTTTCTACAGATACTGTACCTTCCTTAAAAGTGGGCTGTCTATGCTTCAAGAAATCCAATTTTCAGGTTCTAGCTGTGATAATATCAGCTACATAACATTTCTTTGCCTCAATCTACTCATCTGTAGAAGACTGTTTCACCAGCTTATCTCAAAGATCTCTTCCAGCTTGAAACTTCCATGACACTATTTCTCACAGGTGATTTTTTATCTTTAAAATCTTCAGTGGCTTTATTTTGAATTAGTTATCCTACACAGTCCTGGAAAGCAATGAGCCAGAGCAACCAATAAACTGAGTCCAAGAACAAAAATAACCCGGGGGTAGGCAAACTCGAGAAAAGAACTGATTCTTTTGCAAAGGCTAAAGATATTCTTTCCCTTTCTTCAAACAATAAGTGCTCAGGTATGATTTCCTGGTAAATTTTAATCAGAAACAGAAAAAAAGATACCTAAATTCATAAGTTCAGTTACTTTTCAAATAAAATTTAGATTGCAAGTAACTTTTCTGGATCATGTATATGGAGGGCACACTTTAAATCTGCTTTATTGGCAAACACAAAGAAATACACTGAAGAAATATACCCAGTTAGTATTATTTTAAAAAGGGGGGGGGGTGGATAAAGAATCCAGATTCTATCCCAATCTAGTTCTTATTTTAAAATAAAAATATTGAAAGCATATAGTAATGTATACTTTGAGACATTTTATTTGCACAAAGAGATAAAGCATATTCTATTTGTGGCATCAATTCATTTTACCACTCATGTATTAAGTAGACATCGCAAATTGTAAAAAACAAAAAAAAGTATCTATGGCCTGTAAAATGGTTTTTGACTGTGGTTTTGAAAGGCCAAGATTTAACATTGCCAGTCTGGTTTCTTTCAAACTTTCTGGTCATTTATTTCTAAGTAACAAGTGCAATTCTTCACTTTTTCTATGGGGAGAAAAGAATTGCTAAAATGACTGGAATGGTTAAACAAAACAAAGAGAGACTATAAAGAAATGAGACATCGTCTCCTATAACGTTTTCAGCCATAAATAATAGTCAATAGAAACCTAGTACATCATCTCAACCAAAGGTCAGAGATAATTGGGCCTGAAATATCATCTTGTAAAGGGGTAATCTGTGTCACAAAGACACTGAGCTTGGGGGAGTTACTGACATAGAGTCCATCTGTCCCCAAAACCTCCCTCATTCTGAAGAACTAAGCATATAGAAAGGAATAAAACCAAAGGATCAGTTCTAAAAGCCAAGTCTAGGTGCAGAAAAGAGAACAAAAAGAATGTAAGAGATTTCCCTGGCAGCCCGTGTGTTAAGTCACTTCAGTTGTATCCAACTCATCCAACTCCATGGCTCCTCTGTCCATGGGGTTCTCCAGGCAAGAATATTGGAGTGAGCTGCCATGCCTCCTCCAGGGAACCTTCCCAACCCAGGGATAGAACCCACATCTCTTATGGCTCCTGCATTGGCAGGCATGTTCTTTACCAGTAGTGCCACCTGGAAGTCCTGCCCTAGTGGTCCAGTAGTTAAAATCCACTTTGCAATGCAGGTGATATAGGTTCGATCCCTGGTCAGGGAACTAAGATCCCACAACCAGAGAGCCGGCAAGCCACAACTTCTGAGCCTGAGCACTCTAAAGCCCGTGCCCCACAACAAGAGAGGCCCCCGCACCTCAACGAGAAGTCCCTCTGCTGCAGCAAGAGAAACCCCTGTGTGCTGCAACTAGAGAAAGCCCGTGCTCCTCAACAAAGATCCCAGAGGCTGCAACGAAGACCCGGCACAGCCAAAATAAAAGATTGCACAAAGGAGCCTTCTTGCCCAGCTCTAGGACATCCTTTTCTTCATGGAAATCCCAACCCTCACACCAAGGAAGAGATGAGCAGGGAGGGCACTTCTCCGATGGGAGCACTCTTGGGACTGGTCCCTAGGATTCAGGCCAGAACTCTCTCGGGTCACAGCACGGCTGTCTGTGCGGGTGCAGGGCTCTTGCTGAAGGTCACTGTGGGACAGCTCACAAAGGCGCAAGTAGGGAACTGGCCGGAGTAAAGCACAGCGTAGCACCCTTCTCCCACTTTGCCAATTGCTGAGCCGGGTCTGAAGAAACACCGTCATTCAGAATCAGATGTCCTACTCTAGATGGTGACTACCCACACTTGGGCCACACTCTGACCTGACGCTGACACACACACCCACTCTCTCTTTTTTCTTCCTCTATTAACCTAATCATAAGATGTTTATTCTCTCTTTATTCAAAAGAAACCCTGCCCCTTCGACTCACCTGGTAGACACAGACTTTCTCCCAGTGTTCATTCACGAATTTAAAGCTGGAGTAAACCCAGGCCTTTCTCCCTCTTCTTCCCTTCCTCTGTTCATCTCCTAATGCTTAACCTAGCCCTACCTTTTGATAAACACCCTTTTTAATTTAATTATTTGTTTCTTTTGCTTTGTGGCAGTACTACACAGTATGTGGGATCTTAGTTCCCTAGTCAGATAGAACTCATGTCCCCTGCATTGGAAAAATGGGGTTTTAACCACTGGACCACCAGGGAAGTCCCGTTAAACACCCTTTGGATGGCATTTTTGCTTAGCTCTGTGCCTCAGAGCCTAGGATGATGCAAGAAACATAGCAGGCCATCCATAAATAGGGAAAACGATGTATTAAATTCCCCAAAGGACTATTATGCCATCATCAGACATTTCCTTTCCCCATCCTGGATCACAGGGATAGTTCAAAATCAATTTTTCCATCACCATGATGCACAAACGAATCTATCATCCATATTCCCGTCTTACATCTTAACCCAAACACACATTATTGAACCCATCACAAATAGTAAAAGTGCAGACAAAAGGAAAGAGAACAAGAGCTGGGGGAAAATAATCAACCATCTTCTCTCTTTTCATTAACCCTTTCCTTATGGCAAGCACCTGACTGTTTAAATTTGTTGCTTCTACCCTTGGAAGAAAAGCTATGACAAACCTAGATAGCATATTAAAAAGCAGAGACATCACTTTGCTGACACAGGTCTGTATAGTCAAAGCTATGGTTTTTCCAGTAATCATGTCAGGATGTGAGAGTTGGACCACAAAGAAGGGTAGACACCAAAGAATTGATACTTTCAAACTGTGGTGCTGGAGAAGGCTCTTGAGAGTACCTTAAATGGCAAGGAGATCAAACTAGTCGATCCTAAAGGAAATCAACCCTGAATATTCACTGGAAGGACTGATGCAGAAGCTGAAGCTCCAATACTTTGGCCATCCAATGCAAAGAACAGACTCACCGGACAGCACACTGCTGCTGGGAAAGATTGAAGGCAAAAGAAGGGCGCAGCAGAAGATGAGATGGTTGGATGGCATCACCAATTCAATGGACATGTATGTGTATGTATGTGAAACTCGCTCAGTTGTGTCCGAGTCTTTGCTACACCATGGACTATACGGTCCGTGAAATTCTCTAGGCCAGATTACTAGAGTGGCTAGCTGTTCCCTTCTCCAGGGGATCTTCTCAACCCAGGAATTGAACTGGTGTCTCTTGCATTGCAAATGGATTCTTTATCAACTAAGCCATCAGGGAAGCGCCCGGGGGACATGAGTTTGAGCAAATCCTAGGAAACAGTAAAAGACAGGGTAGCCTGATGTGCTGTTTGTAGTACATGGGGTCACAAATAGTCGGACACGACTGAGCGACTACAAACAACAACCCTTGCAAGAACAAGGTACATTGTACCTAGTGAAGCTTCTCTTTGTTTGCTGATTCAAGACTGGAATGAAGTATATTCAGAAGAGATGGGATTAACTTAGGAAACACTTTATATATATATATATATATATATATATAAACACTTTTTTATTATATATATGTAATTGTGATGCATCTCCCCACAGTTGCTTGGTTCTTGAAGTTTAATTGCTCAAGTCAGCTCCAAACTAGAAACTTTAAAGAAAATCATAAAAACTAAGTCCAGGACTTCCCTGGTGGTCCAGTGGCTAAGACTCCATGCTCCCAATGCAGGGGGCCTGGGTTCAACCCCTGGTCAGGGAACTAGATCCCACATGTTGCAACTAAGACCCTGTGCAGACAAAATAAATAAAAATCAATAGTCTTTAAAAAAAAAAAAAAAAACTAAGTCCATACACTAATCATCACTTACAAGTCATCTGCCTTCTGCACTCAGAAGCTTCCAAACTGAGGAATTTGCTGAAATGAAAGAAAACCTGTGGAGTCCAAAATTCCATTTACCTTTCACCACAGATTCACCATTATCAATTTCCTTTAGTAAATAAGGTTGGCTTGGGTTGAAAACATGAAAGATTAAAGAAGGTATTAAAGGAACCAGTCAATTCCCTTCTCACTCTAAATCACTACCCGCTCTCCCAATTTCTGAGTTAAAATTGATCAGTTATCATATATAACTCTTCACTTACAATGTGAATAATAATAGCTCCTAGGCTCTGTACTTCACATATATTCTTTAATTTAATCCATTCCAAAAGCCTGATGGGTATGTTTTAATGTCCCCATTATACAGATGTGAAAAGTGAGACCCTAAAGGAAACTAATGGCAAAGAATTATGTCAGCTAACAGAGTTATTTAAAGTAGGCCAAGCTAATCTTTTGCTAATATTGTAAGTTATTGAATACCTTAAAGATTATATGATATAGAACTTCTAAGATTTTTAAATTAGAACATTTTTAAATGCATACCTGTTTTTTCCTTGAATTTGCTTTGGGAAACAGGCCTGCTGACAACACAGATGTAAATGGAGAGCAGCATAGCTCAGGAAAAGGGTTTGGAATAGATGGCATTTCCAGAACATCAAGATCTTTCTTTTTTCTCCTACAGAGAGAACATAGGATGTAATTTACATAAAACGGAATGTAAAATATAATTGCTGTCAGGGTTAAGACGTTAAGGCCAGAATGCCCCACTCTGTGACAATACTAATAAAAGTATACAGGAAAGGTCTGTGGTGTACTACCTGTGGGTCAGAATAAAACACGTTAATTGACATAAATCAATCTCCTTTTGCATTCCTTTCTTTCTTTCTTTTCTTTTGGCCTTTAAAAAAAAAAAAAATCACCAGGCCTGGAAGCCCCATTTCCAGGACCTCTGATAATTCTCCTGAAACTGACATACAGACTACAGAATTATTGAAGTAAAAATCATCCTGAGTAGTTAGACATTGTTTTGCATCCACTACATTGACAGTCTATAAACATTTAGTGAATTCATCCCTATTCTATTCTACTAATCACTTTTGAAAGTTATGGTTTATTAATTATAGCTGTGGTTCATCTCACTTCAAATTTCATTCACAATGTGGCCCACACACAGTCTGTTGATTTTTCAAGTGCTTATAGATACTAAACTGCAAGGCAGTGTTTTTGAGGAGGTAAGTGAATAGAACTTGCTAGTATTAATGTACTTTGGTCCACTGCAGAGTAATTTTAACTTCAGTGAAGTTGAAGCACTTTGAAAATCTGAAGAAAAAAAAAAAGACACCATTTAAATGTATGAATATAAAGGACTGTAGATTTTTGTATTGTTGCAGCCTTTTTCTTTCCTAATAAAGTATGTGTGAAATTGTGAATTCTACAGGCACTTAGGGCTGAATGCTATGGAGATTGGGAAACACTTTAAAGCCTCTATTCTTTCCTGATGATCAGCTAGACTGCTCAAATGTCAATCCGTACTTTGCCTCTCCAGGGTCGCTCTAAGACTCCATGTGGGAGGCGAACTGATTTATTCTGATTTTTTATAATATATAAAAGGGATTTTGTTGTTTGTTTTTTGTTTTTTAACGCAGTAAGAAGGAAGGAAGCTGGTCAGCCTGGAGCTCGGCCTCCTAGTTCACACCGATGGGCAGAGGCGAGAGCGACCCGGAGCTCTCAATGAAACGGTGATGCTATTTATAAGGCGCTGGGAGATCGCAATGTCCTGCCCATCCGGTACGAGCCAGCTCAAAGGGAATTGTCTTCAGAGACTTTCTCAAACTTGGCCCAGCTCTGGGCACATGGCTCACCCCCTAGGACCGCCTCCTCACCCCTCGTCGGCTGCCAACCCAGGACACTCCCCCGCGCCCTCCGAGGGCTGCCTACCTGTCTGCCGCACAGCCGCGGGTCGCGTCCGGAGGGGGCAGGAGCGCCCGCGCGTGCAGCCAGGGGGCCGGCGCCAGGTCGCGGGCGTCGCCCCTCCCCTGGGCAGCGCCGCACACCTGGGCGGCCAGCGGCGAGTCCCGGGCAGCCGCCCGACCCGCGGCGCTCTGCCCATCTTGCAGGGAAGTGGTCATTGTCGCCGGCCGGGGGGCTCGGGCGTCATGGGAGACCCGGCGCGGGGGGAGAAGGAGATCGGGCGGCGGGAGGCGAGGTGCCGGTTCGGCAGCCCGTGCACGCTGCAGGTGCGGTGGCCTCGCCGCCTGCGCTCTGGACCCGGGCGGCTCAGACGCTCGGCCGAGCGGTAGGCGAGGCGGCGGGGGAGGGGAGGGGGCGGAGGAGGAGGGTGGGGAGAGGGGAGGAGCGGCGGGTGGGTGGGGGCCGCGGGCGGCGGGGCGAGGCGCGGAGGGGGCGGGGAGGGCGCCGCACGGGCCCCGCTCGCGGCCCGGGGCGCCGGGGGGCGCTGGCTGGGGGCCCGCGCCGCCCGCGCGGGGGCCTGCCTGCCGGCTCCCGAGGCTCCGGCCGCCGGCTTCCCAGGTGGGCGCCGGAGCGCCAGGCTGAGCCCGAGGTCGGGGCGGATCCACGTCGCGGGAGGCGGGATCCATGTGATCCGGCGCTCCCTCGGGGCGAGCCTGGCAGGGCGCAGGCGGGGCGGGGGTCTGGGCAGCCCTGACCCCCGAGACTTTTCATTCTTCTTGCTCTGCTAGCGGAGAGCTGTCGCCGGGCCGCCATGACAGGCCCACCGTGCCAGGAGAGCGGGGGACCAGGTTTGTCCCAGTCTGTCCCCCACGTGCCTCTTCTTGCTTCCACTCCGCAGCTGAGGACACCGGCGAGGGAGAAGGGGTGGACGGGGAACAAGCAGTACAATCGGTGCCGAAAACTCCTGAGATGGTTGAGAATTCTGAGTAAGGTATGAGTAAACCTGATGTCTTAGGAATTAGGAAGATTATTCATTTTCTTCTGATAAGAGCAGCTCTCATCTAATGAGTCCCCACTCTGCCTAGCCCCGTTCTACCTCACAACGGCCTCATAAATTAGATGTTTACCCAGAATAAGGGAATTGAGGCTCAAAGTCATGGAGTACCTGGTACAAGACAGGGCTAGTGAAGTAGTGCAGTGAAGCTTCCAACCCGAAAGATTCCATGCCCCAAATCCAGACTGTTTGAAGTGGTAATTACATTACGCTCACCTGAGATGCAGTCGCCCTACTCTGAATTCTGGGTGGTAAATCTGTTAATGCTCTTCCAATAAGTGCACCATCCCAGTGCACTGTTTGGGATTTCCAAATGTTTTATACACTCTTTGTTCTTTGACCAAATTAGGTAACATCTGTCCCTGGCTTCTGTTAACCAGGTTTTCTTAACCTTCACAACCTCTGCCCAGGGAAAGGCAAACACTGCCTCCTAAGGCAACTGGCAAAGCCCCCTGCTCCATATCTGCGTGTCACCCCAACACACACACACACACCATGGCACCATCCACTGCCGACACCCAGGGTTTGCTAATCCCCAGCCTGTGAGAAATCTGTAGTACTTCATAGAGGCACAAAATTTTGAGTCAAAGAGCTTACAGAATCCAAGTTTTGCTCACGTCAAAATTAAAACCCAATAAATAGCAATATTGACCTGGGTTACACATCAAGAGTGGTCTCCAGGACACTTTATGCAATGCAATGGCTAAGCCCAGACCAAAGGGTAGCTCCCCTGATGGGTAAGATTAGTAATACTAATCATGATGACAGCTAACACATTGGTGCTGTCTGCCAGGCAAAGCCCTCATTCACATCCTATTCCCTGAAGGATGGTCTGGATTCTATGTGGATTTCAAGAGAGTTTAATGTAAAAACGTACAGATATGTTGAAGTCTTTCCAGCAAAATAAAAAAGAAGCATGTATTTGCAGATAACTTGAGCTAAAGACATAAAGAAATACATTTTCTTCCTCATCATCATCAATCATTCCTGTTTTCATTCAAAAGTCCTGCAGGTAGCCATTGCTCCTTTCTGAAAATGATATAGTTTGAACATTCTAACAGGAGAGTGAATCAATGGCTGAGGTCTGTCCCCTCCCTACTCAACAACTCTCTCTTTGTCTCTCTGTCTCATACAGAGAAAGAGAGAGCAGGCTGTCTTTTTTTGCCAGAGAAAAGAGTAGGTGGAAACTATATCTTTGGAATCACTGGAAATACTATTTCCCAGTTGTGTATACTGCTCCACTTACCAGCATAAATTTTTAACCTCAGGAAAGAATATTCATTGGTTGGAATGAGATCTCAATTGTGTCTCCCCTCTCTGGGCATTTTCTCATTTAGTGGAAATCCAGAGAGTATCCATTTGCAGACTTTATATTCCTCCTCTAACCCCCATGAGGAAAACTTGTTATACCTGTAGTAATTGGGGGGCAAAAAGGAAAAGAACAAATCTGAGGAATGAGAACTTAAATAGTTTTGCCTTGTAGATTGACGTTAAATATTGAATTTACTCCCAGACACCTTGAGGATCTATATCAAGAATGATACAGTTCCCTCATTCACATTTTTGAAGCAAGCCAACAAAAGAACTAGCTTTTGTATCCAAGAGATTTACCAAAAAAAAAAAAAGTTTCTGAATAAAGAACTATGCAATATAAAAGGTGCAGAATACTATGAGACCTAGTACAGCCTAAGAGAATACAGAGGCATTTTTCTGTGAAAAGGGTAGTTCAAAAGAGATTTTCCTTCCCATAACTAATGAAGATAGCGGAAGCTAGTGAAGCAGATACCTTGTCACCACAGAGTCAGTCCTCCCCTAGCGGCTGTTCTTTTTTGACTTGAGCCTGTAAAATGGCAAAGGAAGCAGTTTGTCTCCTGGTCCCTCCCCCACTGTAAGCCTTTTCTGCCCCTGGTCTCTCTCCCGGCATCCTAGGCTTCCTACCCCTAGGGAAAATGTGGCCTCTGCTTTCTTCTCTCCCTTTCTCAGCCAATCAAACTGCTTAACCCTTTATACTGGGAAAGATAGCCCATGTACAGACAAGAAGGTCACAAACAGAACTGTGAGATGATTTATCATAAGGCAAACACTGATGTCAGATGATGAAATGCATTACTGTCAGTCATCCCAAAGCCCCGCCCTCTGGTCCAGATTTTCCGCGTAATCATAGTAAACTCAGAATTTAACCGTAAGTATCCATCCCTAATCACAACAGAGTAGGTTGTCTGGTTTGAACCTTTATGTAAATGAAATCAGGCAGTAGGACCCTTTTGTACTTGACTTGATGGTTCCCTTTACCCATTGTTTACAATATGCTTCCTTGCTTTTGTTTATGTTGTTTATTCTTCCTTGCTTTTACACGTTTCTCTAGTTTTTCTAACTCTTCTATTGTATGTAAATACCACAATATATGTATTCATCTACTATTGATAAGCATCTGGGTTATTTCCAGCTTTGGACTGCCTTAGTACTCTTGCAGTGAGCATTTTGCACCCTTCTTTTGGTGGTGTGCATCCATTTCTGCAGAGCGTGTATAAAGAACTGGCATTGTGAGGTCATGCTGTGTCTATGCTCATCTCCTGTAGATACTGCCAGTTTCTCAAATTAACTCTACCAATTTTCACCACACCAGCAATGCATGTTTCCCCAGTTCTTCACGTCCTTGACCTTTGGAATATTATTAGAATTTGTACAATAGACATTCTGGTGTAGGTACAGAAATACCTCATGGTGGAATTTGACTCTGGATGACTGATGAGGTTGAACACTTGTTCATGTGATTATTTGCCATTTGGACATTCTCTTTTGCTAAGTACCAGTTCTCCTGCCTATTTTATGATGAGATGTCTGTCTTTTTCTTATTCTAGTTATATTCTAGTTATGGGCTCTTTTTAAATGTCTTGTAGATCCATTCTCCCATTCTGTCTTATATCTTAGACCTCATTAATATTTTTTGAGAAACTGTTCTTAATAGTTATAGGACTACTCTAATACTCTTAATCTAATATTCTTATTTCTTCTAGTGTCAATTTTGACAAGTAGCATTTTAATTTTTCTCTTTCATCCAAAATTTTAAATGTTTGGCATGTTCAGTTGCTCAGTCGTGTCCGACTGTTTGTGACCCCATGCTCCAGGGTCCTCTATCCATGGGATTTTCCAGGTAAGATTACTGGAGTTGGTTGCCATTTTGTCCTCCAGGGGATCTTCCTGACCCAAGGATCAAACCCACGTCTCCTGCTTCTCCTTCATTGCAGGTGAATTCTTAATTGCTTGAGCCATCAGAGAAATGTTTTAGCAGAAAATCTTTCATATTTTCTTCTTTTTGATGATATTCACCAGAATTTATGAATTTTAAAGCTTTTCAGGAATTACTTTATTGTCTGTGTTGTCTTATTTGTTTCTATTCTAATCTTTTCTTTTTCCCCCCCTTCTACTTTCTTTGGGTTTATTTGCCCTCTTTTGTTTCCCCTAAATTTTTTATGTGGATGCTTATAGCTCATTGACATTTAGCTTTTCGTATTTTCTGATATTCACATTTAAAGACATATGTTTCCTCTCAAGTATGACCATAGTTGTATCTCTCAAGTTTCAATGAGTTATATTTTGGTTATTATTCATTTCAATGTATTTTCCATTGTGATAGAGTTTTTTCTAGCTGTCTTTTTCTTCTGTTCTTTTTTTTTTTAATATAATTTAATTTCTTTGTTGTCACAGACAATACTCTATGTGATTTCAGTCCTTTGAAAGTTGCTTTTTGGCCAAGCATATGGTCAACATTTATAATAGTGTGTGTATGATTGAAAAGAAGGTATTTTCATTTCATTGTGTCAACCATGTTGTTTAAATTCTCTGTATTCCTAGTGATTTTTTATTTGTTTATTCTACCATATTCTGAGAGATGTTTTATTAAAATCTCCCACTATGATTGTGGATTTTTTTTAACTCTATTTTATTTTACTTTATACGTTTTAAGGCTAAATTTTTAGAAGTTAGTTTTAGTATATTATTTTACAAATTTAGAATTAGTAGGTCTTTTTGATAAATTGAAACATTGAACATTTTGAGCTGTTCTCCTTTACCTCTATTAACTTTTCTGCCTTCAAACTTTCCTTTGATATTCATACAGTTTGGCTGATGTTTTATGGTACATCTGTTTTCCATACTTTGTGT